ACTATTTAACATTAATTCTCAGTATTCTGTTGTCTCCTACACGTGTATATAAGATTCAATATCATGTGAAGCTTAAAAAAATTTCACCTAAATTCAATTTTGACCTGCTAAATATATACGTGTACTAACATGGCTTTTAATAACTGAATAAAGAGCTGATTGCTATAATAAGTGCATGCTAATAACGGTGAGATGTTTTATTTTTAGAATATATTCCCACCGACTTTCTTCCATGAAGTTTGAAACATCACAGAGAAATGAACTGGATTGTATGGATTGCCCTGCTTGTCCAAAGGTATTAGGTTGTGTTATAATAAGGCAGTGCAGGTGTTGAATTCCTGCTGGGTCTTTTGGTCATTTAATAACAATTATACACTTCAGTAAATTGTTTCACACCTTGCATCTGCAGATTTCAGGAACAGAAAAATTGCACTCTATGAGAGCCATTAGTTTCATTATATAAATTCAGGAAGAGAATAGAGACTAGTCGTATTATGGCCGTTGAACATCATTTTATTCAATGAATCCATCATGTTGACATATTACTTTGCTGATGATAACAGAATCAAGGATCTTTGCTGGAATCCATGGATGCCTTGTTTATTGGGCGAAAAAAGTCAGCTGGTAGAAGTGTTAGGAGTCCCTTGTTTGGTACAGCTGTGTTCTACAATGATTCAGATGTTGAGGAATTTGTGCAGCAACATCCCACAACAAGTAGAGCAAAAGAAGTGAGTATATCCTTAACAGCAAATTACATATTTTGATCAGTACATGTACATTAACTTGTGGTGTATTTTTGTGTTTTGACTTTTTTGTTCCTTATTTACCATTTTGAAAAAAAAAAAACTAGTTCTTATAGTCAAATAGACACAAAACATACATGTGTATTAATGTTATTGTTAAGGCTTTAATTAGAGTGTTTCTCTATGACAGGCATGTGGTGACTTTTTGGCAGGAGATGCAATTCGTTCAAGGTCACGTTACTCTGCTCTTAGTGAAACAGCAATTTTTGGAAGAGCTTGTCGCCATGAATTTCCAAAGAAGTTTATCAACATGAAGCATGGTGAAAGGTTTGAAATACATGCATTTTTGTTTTTTTATGTTTATCATTGTCATCTGGCTATTTAACTGTCTTCTTATTTTTATAGATTTATCAACAAAATTTAAAGGTCATTGTGCTTAATTCTAAGCATATAGTCACTTATTACATTTTAGCATTAATAATTATTGGTTGGGTTTTCTGCTACTAGCTTGATAAAAAATGATATCTCTGTCCTGTTAACAGTTGATTATTTGGTTGTTGTCATCGTTGTTGTTTTAATTTACCCATCTAAATAATAATTATAATAGCAATATTTATGCTCTCTGCATTAGGAGTAATGTGGCTTTTTGACAGCTTACCCTGCTGGAGCCATCCAATTCTTTTTGTCTGTATCTGCTTAAAGGAGGGCAGATGTATAGGCCATATTTATATATTTTTTTTACTAGTTTGAATCTTCTATATAATCAATCACTCAGATATTATTTATTGATTTCTTGAAGCAGTGAAATATTATCAACTAGATAATTAATAAATTAGCAGTTTTTTTAAATAATTTCATTCAAATGGACTATAAAAATTATATACTACATTTTACATCCTTTTATGGCAACTGGGGTGCTCATCTTGTCATCCTTGATGTCCTTATGGACATACTTTTGGTAGGTTCCAACAATTGCCAGATTAAATAAAAAAGGGGTTCAGGTCCAAAATAAACAGCCCTCATTTGATCTCCGGATCTTTTTTGAACTACTGAGAATTGTCAGATGCTGAAATTTTATTTAGAAATTGGCCCATTTTTTAATAATGTATATATATATAAAGATTTTTCATAATTTTTTTCCTTAGACTTGCATATCCAGTCTGGATGTTGAACAATCTTTTAGATGAAATACATGGTCGCTCACTTGACGTGTGCATACTTTATGACATTGCTTGCCTCCTGGAAACCCACTTGAAGGTGGGTGTATTCTTCCCACAGTAAAATGGATTGATGGAGTAGAGATGCAAAACACTTGGATTACTAACAAAATAGCTGATAAAAATACTATTTCTAGGCTCAAGGGCATCACCACATTTTGCAGTCTGTGCAGTTAGCAATACCCATTTTTCACAGCTATGGACATAAAGCTAGCTGTCAGGTGTGTGTTGCAGTCGTTTTGAAAATTTTAAATTATTATTGTTATTTGTAGATTACAGTTAGTAAGAAAGAATTCCTCTTGTAACTCTAGTTAAATACTAGCTTGTTTCATGTAACAGTTACCACAGCTGTCTCAGAGCATTAAATGATCAATATAGTTTAAATCTTAAAATAACAATATTTTGATGATTTACCAGAGTTATAAATATTTCATTTTTGCATTCTATTTATTTTTTTCTTCCACTTACCAAAATTTCCCACTGATCAGGTTTGAGAGATACTTTTGCCTGTTCTCTAGATTAAATACAGTCCAAGGAGAATTCCTGGTTTTGGACTTACTGATGGTGAAGTTCTTGAGAGACTTTGGTCGTTTTTAAGACGATTTGGGAAGATGACAAAGGAAATGAGGCCAAACCATCGGATAGATGTCCTGTCGGATGCTTTATTGTTTTATGGCAAGAAAAAATCCGCAGGCATAGGTAAAGTCTTTTTTGTTAGGAAGCATTAACTGTTATTTTTTTTCTTTCTGTGAAGTTAGCACTTTCACTACTTCTTCCTTCGTTAATAGATTTTGTGATAGTATTGTCCCTTTCTGTTAAAAAAAAAATCAGATATCTACAAGCATGATTTTTCTTTGAAGAGGCATTTTGTGTAGATGTGGCTTTGCAAAGTTTGTTAGTTGAATATTTTCAGATTATGTGTCATAATCTTACCATTGTGTTTTTTCATAGTTAATGACTGTCTGTGCGGGGTTACTCATTTTGTACAGGTAAACTTTTGTTTGATCGCATGAAGAAAGCAAAGATAGTAATCAAAGATACCGAAGAAGAACTGCTTAAATTACTGGAAAGCCTTCCAGGTATGACATTTATTTAGTTTAAAAACATTTCAACTGATTTCATTCAATGACGTCATCTTTATTGACATTTTTCCGATCTTTGATGAGCATTTCTCAACACTTAAAGCAGTCAGCCCGGTGTTCCAAAGTAAAAATGTCTGACATAGGTTTCATAACATTCTTTACAGTGCTGGTAGTTAATGCTGGAGGCAGTAGCTTAGAGTAATTAATGTATGAAATGAATTGGATTTTTCAGTTAAGTCGAGATCTTGATTTGCAAATAGTAACTAATTAATTTCAGCGCCTGTCAGAAGGGAAGAGGTCACTGAATGGGCAGAAAAGGAAGCAGAATGGACGGGAGGTTTAAGTCGCCCTGTTGAGCAACCGTCGTGGAAACACGGCTATGTGATCTACTTGAAGATGTTCTATGAAATCCACGAAAAGTGGGAACAGGCATCGGACCCAGAGAAACTGCAGCAGTTGTATGGACAGTTAAACAAGTATGTTTTTTTGGAAACTATAGCGTTCATGGGAATAACTACTTTATTATCCACGAATGTTAAAATACTAGCCCCAGATAGATATCAACAACTAATTATAAGAAACGTCTATTTCTTATGAACTTGTGATGCAACATGGATCTGGGCTGGTAGTGTGCTAAAACAGTTTGGTTGCAATCTGCTTACAAGGTTCACCAAATCCCTCTTGTCTTTTAGATTGTTACATACGGAATCACAACATTGTTGCAATAGAGATGTAGTTACCGGATGTTTTCTTGTACATGAAAGGTTGTTACATAATTTGACTTTTGGTGTTCACATTAGTTAACAATTACTCTCCTCAGGCGACGTGAATATCGGCCAATAGTCACCTCGACGAATTATTTTAGTACAATTACATTCATTTGATGATTCTTCGAGAAAATAGAATTATTGATCAGTTTCCGACTCCGAAACATCAACACATCTGGCTGCCATTTTGACGGGGGAAAACTGCTAGCCTTCAATGTTATAATGACCGCGCGATGATTATAGTGGGATGAAGCGAAGCTCGTAGCCAACCATAGCGCTTTATTTTCAACAATCATCAGTGTAATTGTACTAATGGTATATATTATGGTATCTGTGGTTGATATTACATTATTGTCGATTGGTGGTCGTATATTTATTGATGTAGATGGTGATTCGTCAAACCTGATCATGGCATTGATGATACATGTGTATGACAGGTGTCGCTGCACTGAGAATAACCAATGGGAAGTGAACTTTTTATTACAACACTCCTTTTGTGTACATCCTTTAAGGGAGTTGTTACATGAAGCATTTTTGTAACACTCTTTCCCATGTGGTGATCTGTACATTGAACTACTGTATAAACAATATTTAACTCTGATGGTTCACTAACCATTAGGTTACTTCTCAACATTTTGTATCGTATTGTCATCTTGAATCAGGTTGGAACGCGTTTTATTTGAATTGGAGAACACGAATGGTGTAAGTCAGCGTTGGACCACTTCTTGTGTGGAGTATATAACGGCTCGAGATGCTGCTTGTGACAGAAGCAAAAAGGTGGCATTGGTCGATCTGCATACTAAAGTTATTGAGCGGTGGTTCTTGTTGAGTTTGAAGGCTAAATATGCAGGCGAGTCTATCATTTGATATGTTAAAGTAATATATGATAAAAAGTGTAATGATAACTATAACAAAATTCTGAAATCTGATTGACTATCAACTGTCCTGATTTCAACCTTAATAGAACAGTACGTTTCATCACGCGCGCTTAAATGTTTTTTCTTCATTGCTAGCCAAAAAGAGATTGAATTTTCTTGTGTTTCGATATAAAAAAAGAGCCTTATATGTCACAAGTTTGGTTAAAGTTATGATTAATTGTTAAAAGAACTTCCTGTCTTCTGTCCTTATCACTTAGATGGCCATGACCTTTCCAAACGGCTTTCCAAGCAGATCTCCCAAGCAACGAAGAGCATGCGAACCGCTCTAGATAAATTCAACAACCTAGAATGCAGCCTTGCTTTTCCATTCCCACGCTCCTTGGAGTTTGATCAAGTGAAGAACCCGGAAGCAGACGTTTGGCTACGATCGGAGTTTGTTGGTTCTGACTCGCCAGTACCCATAACCGTTAGACGTAGAGCAATCGATCTGTACCATCTGCTGGATAGAGCTAAAGAAGAGGTGACCTTACTTCAGGAAGAGATGAGAAACGTAGTTGATCACTTCAGCGGGCAGCACGCGACGTTTTCCAATTCGTTAAAAGATGCCACGATATCTCCTTTGTCCTTAGAGGAGAAAGGAAAAAATATATTTCTGAAAATGAAACTGTTGTCTTTGGAGGGACAGCTTTTAGAGGTCAAAAGATTGTTCCAAGGTCACATCGGAGAAGTCCCTCTCCCGAACTTTATTTTTGATCAAAACAGTATTCCGTTACAGGACGATGAAAACGAGGCTGACGAAGTGTCTGAGTCGTTGCTAAGCCTCCCGGAAACAGAGGAGGATGAAGTGGACAGTGAAACAGACTGCGAGAGCGATTGTGACGATACTGACAGTGCTTTTTTCAGTTCTTCGGGAATATTGCTTTAAACTAGAAAAGCGTTAACTAGTCTACTATATTTTGGGCTGCTCTGGACGTCCGCAATCCTAATTTCCACGTTGCTAGTCTGCATGAATTATTGCGCGAAATACGCATTTTGGGTTCTGGATGCTCCCATTTTCTAGTAAATGAAAATTGGTCAAGCACCTGGGCGAATTGTTGTGAAATTGTTGTTTTTCTACTAGTTTTCATCGACTATTGTGCCAAGAACGCTTTTCGCGCTATTCCATCCAATTTTCTAATGAATGGGAAAATCCGGCTCCTTAATGTCGTGCTTTTACATTAGTGTGTGGGGTAAACATGCGGAATTTTTCGGGGGCAGCTTGAAATAAGTGTGTGTTTGTTTCAATAGCGTACAGTAGACAGACACATAAAAACCAAGTGGATTCAGGGACACTAAAAACGAGCATGAAAAATACTTTTCAGGCTATCCCGAGTACTTTTAGATCAGTCTTGAAATGCATTGCATTCTAAGCGGCCCTATAAAATTTCTATGTGTTCGGAGCTCCTTGGCGAAATTGAGTCTTTTCGAAATTACAAGGGCTTTAGTATTATTTTCCTAAACAGATATTTTACAGAAAACAGTCGTTGGGTGCCGCTGTCAGTAGATTGCGAACCTCCTGTTGTAAATTTGCAACTGTCATGCCAAAAATACAAGAACTTTTTTGGCCAAGTTACTTGTAGGTTAAGCAGGTCGTTAAGTGTGTGTTGGACTTTAATTATCCAAAACGTTTTAACCAATGAGTTTGATTTTGAGACTGCATATTTATATTACATGAGAATAAGGTCATGGTAACAAACTGTCTTAACTAATAAAAGTATCAATGTAAAAAGAGGTTTATATAAAGACAAAATAATTACATGCTGTAAATTTGTCTTCATAAATGGGCATCGCATAAAGGAGATTGCAATGTATATTTGTCCATAAATATTGTCTACGTTGAAGTTACTATTTTATCTCAGGTATTTTTTTGGTATGGTAATGTATGCTGATGAAGTTCACAAATGAAAATTACCCGAGATAAAGAAAAATTAACTTTAACGTATATGTCAGGACAAGACTCACGTATGTTAATTTTTTCTATCAGTCAACAACTATGTCTCTTTTATAGAAATTGAGAATTTAACTGACGATAAGTACCCCCAAAATACAAGAACCTAACGTTGAGCTCCCAAACTAAGGATCCCCTAGCCTCGAAAATAACGGCTACCCTAAAGTAACGTCAGTTTGCTATCTTCCGAGTAACCCCGAAAGTAGCTAATTATAAGGCCCCAAGTAGCAGCCCTTTGTAAATTACCCCACAATTACAACTTCAATCAATTTATTTCTTGAATTTCTTTCTTTATTGATTTAAGGAACTGAAACGGTGAATGAATTGCTGTGAAATCGGTCGATTTTTAACTAGTTTTCGCCATTTGTGCCCCATGTGGATAAGTCAAGACTTTGAATGACTTGGTAAAAAAAATGAGTGGTTACACCATTTTTTTTAAAGGATAACCGCGAAATATACCAAAATTATCAGTTTTCCGGGTTTAATTGTGTGTGCATCATTTCTTTTATTGAATGTTGAGCCAGTGCGCCCATTTGATTTTTCATGTTATTTTCCGATACACGGCAGGAAGGCTAGCATTTCCACGGTTGCCGTAACATCGGGCTGTTCCCTCCAGCACAAAATATAGGGCCAACAATGCATTTAGGGCTCTTCGATCCCACTTTTTCATTTAAATCTGCTTGTTTCCATTATTTTGCATGAAAGATAGGCTCAACAGTGCATTTATGGCACTTTGATGCTTTGCCGTAAAATCTGGTCGTTCCCTCTAGTTTCCATGAAAGGTTTGCTCAATAGTGCATTGCAGGCACTTAGATGCTCTGCCGTAACAGCTAACCGTACCCTCTAGTTTCCATGAAAGGTTGGGTCAAAAGTGCATTTTCGGGTCTTTAAATGCCCTGCCGTAAAATTGGGCCGTTCACTCCAGTTTGCATCAAAGATAGGGTCAACAATGCTTTTTCGGGCACTTAGATGCCCTGCCGTAAAATTGGACTGTTCCTTCCAGTTTCTATCACAGATAGGGTCAGCAGTGTAATTTGGGGTACTTAGATGATTTGCCGTAAAATCGGGCCGTTCCTTCCAGTTTGCATAAACGACCGGGTCAATAGTGCATTTTCGGGTACTTAGATGCCCTGCCGTAAAATCGGGCCGTTCCTTCCAGTTTCCATGAAAGACAGGGTGAAAAGTGCATTTTTTGGGTACTTAGATGCTTTGCCGTAAAATCGGACCGTACTTTATAGTTTCCATGAAAGACAGGGTGAACAGTGCATTTTTGGGTACTTAGATGCTTTGCCGTAAAATCGGGCCGTTCCTTCCAGTTTGCATGAAAGACATGGTCAACAGTGCGTTTGGGGGTACTTAGATGCTTTGCCCTGAAATCGGGCCGTTCCTTCCAGTCTCCATGAAAGACAGGGTGAACAGTGCATTTTTGGGTACTTAGATGCCCTGCCGTAAAATTGGACCGTTTCTTCCAGTTTCCATCACAGATAGGGTCAGCAGTGTAATTTGGCGTACTTAGATGCTTTGCCGTAAAATCGGATTGTTCCCTCCAGTTTTCATGAAAGATAGGGTCAGCAGTGTTTTTTGACGTACTTAGATGCTTTGCCGTAAAATCGGATTGTTCCCTCCAGTTTTCATGAAAGATAGGGTCAGCAGTGTTTTTTGGGGTACTTAGATGATTTGCCGTAAAATCGGGCCGTTCCTTCCAGTTTGCATGAAAGAGAGGGTCAATAGTGCATTTTCGGGTACTTAGATGCCCTGCCGTAAAATCGGGCGGTGCCTTCCAGTTTTCATGAAATATAGGGTCAACAGTGCATTTTTGGGTACTTAGATGATTTGCCGTAAAATCGGGCCGTTCCTTCCAGTTTGCATGAAAGACGGGATCAACAGTGCGTTTTTGGGTACTTGGATGCTTTGCCGTGAAATCGTGCCGTTCCCTCCAGTTTGCATGAAAGATTGGGTCAACAATGCATTTTTGGTACAGTTGAACCTGTATGTAACGGTCCTGTATTAAGCCGCCACGCTCTAGTAAGCCGCCGGTTTTCAAAGTCCAGGTTTTTCGCTCATAGAGACCCTGTATTTGTTACCTGTATTAAGCGGCCACCCTGTATTTACTGTTGAATAGCTTTGAGACTTTTTGGCGCAATTCCTTCCTTTCAGATGTAGAGGTACCCTGTCTCTCTTCCCTTGGCGTTCCTGGGAAAAGTGGAGGGAAAATGGGAAAAATGTTGCAGGTATTAATAAAAGGAAGTCCACTGCACTGGTAAATTGTAAGAATTCTATTGCTACTAAAGATTTAATTTGTTGAAAATCATATCTGAAACTTACCGTCTCCATTTACAAACGAGTAGAACTTGGGGGCAAGCCGGTTGCTCTCCACGAACTGAATCGCTCTCGGGTGACCAAAAACATCTACGTCGCCTTTTCCCATGTCGCACATAAAAAGGCACTTTACCCCTAAAACCTTGAGATTGTCACACTGACAAACAAAAGAGAGATATCGAAATGTAAGAACATTTCTAGAGATTAGCCGCGATGATAACAAAATATTACTTAGTTAATTAATTGATAATAATAGGGTCTTTTTTTATAAGGGGGCTACCCTTTTTTAATGATTGTATGCACTCTTGTTCATACCGAGGCTGCCTTTTTTTACTGATTATAATTATGTAATGTATTCCAGTTTCATATATAATTAAGTTTTTATCTATTTATTCATTTATTTTTATACAGGGCCCATATTGATAGCAGTTTTTATAACTGAAATGGTCATCCTGTTGAAACATTTTATTATTAGTATTATTAGTATTATTATTTATAATAATATTAATAATCATCTATCAACCTATCCAAAAGCTGTGTTTAACGTGGATGATGATAATAATAAGAAGAATAATAATAATAATAAGAATTTCTAATAAGAACAAGGTTTAACAACTAAGTATGTCAAGTTTCATATCAATTGACAAAACCTCAGAATCAAGTCTGTTTACATAGGATGTGCGGAGAGAAAGGACGGAGTGTAAGTCAGTAAAAAGTGATAATTGAATTTACCTAGGTATATATGCTAGTGCAACGATTTATAAACCTTTTAAGCATGAAAATTCTACAATATACTGGTCCTCCTACTACTGCTACTAATGACAATAACAAATTACAATTCTATAAGTTCAATTAAGTTACTTATCATTAAGTTGGAGAAGTTCAATTCTATAATTATTTATTCAATTCTTCAAAGTTTTACCTCCCGTTTCACTTTTTTTAAAGTTCTTTTTATCTGTTCCTTTTTTGTTATTACATCTTCAGAGAGGGCTCTTCTGTTAAATTCATTTCGTTCCTCTTCAGAAAGCTCTTTCCACATCCTCGATAAGAAAACATTCCTCTCAGCGAAAGTCATCTGTTTTGTACCTTCTGTAAGGCAATAAAGGACGCTGGCATTTCGTTTTCAATTTCCCCAGAATACATATTTATACAGAATGAGCATTCGTCCCGGTCATAAAATAAAAAGACGGCATAGAATTGCGTGACACAGACATTCAGTTAACCCCTTCGTGTTATCGACACGCTCTCAGGACTATATATGCATCAAAAATGTTCGGGAAAATCGTACTGAAGCCCTTGTATTTTCAAAAAGATCCCAGTTGCCCTAGTTCACCGAACAGATTAAAATTTTATAGCGCCGTTTAGAATACATCTCTAGAAACCTAATGAGTCCTCTGGATAGCCTGAAAAGTGGTTTCGATGCATTTAGGAGGAAACCGTCGTTGGGACTGCCCCTGATTTATATATCCTGATTTTGTCACCCCTAAGTGATCAAACAAAAATGTATCAAAACCAAACCAACCATCTAAGGCAGAAGTCTCTTTGCAGAAAAGGTTGTATCCATTTAACTGTGACTTGTTTACTCTAAAAAACAAACATTAAGACACAGTAACGCGTCTGAAAGTGATATGTCACTGAGGACAGTGTACGGAAAGCAAAACTAAAAATACGAAGTTAAATTTACACGTGATAAGGAATACTACACTTACCGTGCTGAATTCTCAGTTGTAGACACAGAAGACATTTTGATAGAGTGAGAAAAAAAATTAGCTCAGTACTAAACCGGTCAAATGTTAAAACGCTAGCCTTAAGAGAAACTTGGTAGCAGAATTACGCAAAAAGGCGCTGTTTCGGTACCTGACTTAGCATTGTTGCGCAAACTATTGGTGATAGCGTGTCCGTCTGTCCGGCAATTCTGATCTATCAGAGCAGTAGTGATTACGAAATATGGATATCTACAAAATCATCAATAGTGTTAAATATCCGTTTTAAGGGTAATATTAAAGAAATACTCTTCAATTAATGGAAATTGCCGAAAGAAAAAAAAAAAAGATCGGCATCATGCGATGTGACCAACGATAAACTCGACATGCCAGAAATCTTCAATTTGTGACCTCGGAAGCCAAGATTTTTTCTTTAAACGTTTATATTACACGATTTCAAATTGTTTGATGTTAACATTATAGAAATACATTTCATTTGGGAGGAACTGTAATAAAAATTTCTTTCTCTAATTTGCCCGCCTTAAAAACGCCCGTGGCTAGGCATCCTATAGGATGTTATACACTCTGCTCTCGCCACTCAGAAATTCTTTACTTTGCACCCTTGGAAGACCAGGTTTTTGCTTTAAACGTTTCTGTTACACGATTCTGAATAGTTTGATGTCAATATCATAGAAATACAATTCATTTTGGGGGAACTGTAATAAAAGTTCTTTCTCGAATTTGCCCGCCTTAAAAACGCCCGTGGATCGGCATCCTATAGGATGAGGATGTTATACACGCTGGGCTCGCCATTCCAAAATTCTTTACTTTGCGCTGTGGGAAGACCAGATTTTTTCTTTAAACGTTTCTCTCTCACGATTCTGAATAGTTTGATGTTAATAGCATACAGATACATTTCATTTGGGTAGAACTGTACTAAAAATTCTTTCTCGAATTTGCCCGCCTTAAAAACGCCCGTGGACCGGCATCCTATAGGATGTCACACAAGCTGCACTCGCGATTCCAAAAGTCTTTACTTTACGCCCTTGGAAGACCAGATTTTTGCTTTAAACGTTTCTGTTACACGATTCTGAATAGTTTGATGTTGATATCATAGAGATACATTTCATTTTTGGGGAACTGTAATAAAATTTCTTTCTCGAATTTGCCCGCCTTAAAAACGCCCGTGGATCGGCATCCTATAGGATGAGGATGTTATACACGCTGGGCTCGCCATTCCAAAATTCTTTACTTTGCGCTGTGGGAAGACCAGATTTTTTCTTTAAACGTTTCTCTCTCACGATTCTGAATAGTTTGATGTTAATATCATACAGATACATTTCATTTGGGTAGAACTGTACTAAAATTTCTTTCTCGAATTTGCCCGCCTTAAGAATGCCCGTGGATCGGCATCCTATAGGATGTCACACACGCTGCAATCGCCATTCCAAAATTCTTTACTTTGCGCTGTGGGAAGACCAGATTTTTGCTTTAAACGTTTCTGTTACACGATTCTGAATACTTTGATGTCAATATCATAGAAATACAATTCATTTTGGGGGAACTGTAATAAAATTTCTTTCTCGAATTTGCCCGCCTTAAAAACGCTCGTGGATCAGCATCCTATAGGACGTCACACAAGCTGCTCTCGCCACTCAGAAATTCTTTAATTTGCGCCCTTGGAAGAACAGATTTTTGTTTAAAACGTTTCTGTTACACGATTCCCAACAGTTTGATGTTAATATCATGGAAGTACACCTCATTTGAGGTGAACCGTAATAAAACGTTCTCTCTCGAATTTGCCCGCCTTAAAAACGCCCGTGGATCGGTATCCTATAGGATGTCACAGATGCTGCCATTCCAAAAATTCTTTACTTTGCGCTGTGGGAAGACCAGATGTTTTCTTTCAACGTTTCTGTTACACGATTCTGAATAGTTTAATGTTAATGTCATAGACATACATTTCATTTTGGGGGAACTGTAATAAAATTTCTTCCTCTAATTTGCCCGCCTTAAAAACGCCCGTGGATAGGCATCCTATAGGATGTCGCACAAGCTGCACTCGCCACTCAGAAATTCTTACTTTGCACCCTTGGAAGACCAGATTTTTGCTTAAAACGTTTCTGTTACACGATTCCCAACAGTTTGATGTTAATATCATAGAAGTACACTTCATTTGAGGCGAACTGTAATAAAACGTTCTTCTCTAATTTGCCCGCCTTAAAAACGCCCGTGGATCGGTATCCTATAGGATGTCACACACGCTGCACTCGCCATTCCAAAATTCTTTACTTTGCGCTGTGGGAAGACCAGATTTTTTCTTTCAACGTTTCTGTTACACGATTCTGAATAGTTTAATGTTAATTTCATAGAGATACATTTCATCTGGGGAGAACTGTACTAAAAATTCTTTCTCCAATTTGCCCGCCTTAAAAACGCCCGTGGATAGGCATCCTATAGGATGTCACACACGCTGCACTCGCCATTCCAAAAGTCTTTACTTTACGCCCTTGGAAGACCAGATTTTTGCTTTAAACGTTTCTGTTACACGATTCTGAATAGTTTGAT